CTTCACACGTGAAAATGTTAATAGTACTCTTCCAAGAAAGCTTCGTTGTCATCGACTCGTAAAGTACGAAAATAATAAAGAATCATTCGTCTGTACAAAATGGTGGTGTTTCATTATTTTACTACACATTCTTTGTTTTCCTGAATCAAATGTAAATATTCAGTGATGATTTCTAAACGTCGTTTACAGATGGAGATACGGAAACTAAATTTTCTAGACAACCTAATTTCGTAACATTTGGCGTATATCAAACGGTGAAATTATGCCTTGCAGACACAATTTATTTTGATTCTCCAACACCATTTGAGTTCAATTTGTTCCTAGATGAAAAATTTCTTCGTAATATTATTACTGTGTATTCTTCCTAAAGTGATGTAGTAGATGCATTTGTCTCATTAAAAGTTCTCATAGTATCAACTATTACTGCCTTAACAAACAAGCTTTGTTCTCCAAGGCACATTCAATCGTTTCGGGTTCCCGAGAGTGTCTTGATAGAGTGCCTTTGGATACGTGCATTATATTGGAATTTGATTGTTAAAATAATAACTTATTAAATCTTCATTAAAACAAAAAATTAATTTCTTATTACATCGTAAATCACTATCACCTCCAGAACAACGATCACTAACTCTTTGCTCTTAATAAAATACTCAAACATTTTCATATATTTTTATCCCACATGTTATTATTATACTGTGCTCTGCGATTACAAGAGAATCAGTATTAATATAAAATTTTCTTCTTCTTTAGTTTTCAACATTTTTGCGGGTTTGAAGCTTTTGCATTGAAGGGTTTGAACCACCACAGAACTATTCTTAGTTAATGGATGATATTAAAGTGTGTGTGGTGCATTGTCACTGCCAATCGCGTCAAAATATGAAAGCACTCATTCCCCAGGCGGAATGGTAACACCCGTTCCATGGGCAGAATACAACCGCATTTGTCTCCAGATTTTGGGACCGTCAGGAGTTGGAGGCGCGTGGGGCCTAGGAGTTGGTTACCCCTAAGCGAAGTCGCCCCGAGAGCGCTCTGGTGCGCGACCCCACAACCGCCGACGCGGGAGGAGGCGGGGCTATCTTCTTCCGCCCTATTTACGGCACCTCGTAATTTCCCAGGCGGCCCCGCGCCGTGCCACGCCCCTTCTCACTTACTCGCGTGGGATGAGAACGCGCTCCGCTGCGAACAAGACACGTGTAGGGAGTTCGATATCCATCTGCGATTGGAAAACAATACGTTCTCTGCCTCAACTACTAATCTTCACAAAAAGTCAACACGTTTTGCATCGCAAAGTGGCTCGCCTGCGTGATGCAGGGTTAAAGAAGTTTCATGTCATAATGTTCTGGTTTTTGATCTAGAGATGAGATGGAACAGTCACGGATGAATGAACAAGCAGATGTTCGGTAAAGAAATGTATTGAAAAGAAAGTATGTTATTAAAGTCATTCGTATTTTTTAAAAGAAAATATCAGTTTTTCCTGAAATATATTTTAAGCATATATGCAGACTATTTCTCCATAATCCGTCTTGTATTAGTATTTTTTAATCCGTCTTGTAGTGGTTTTGAATAAACTTCTAAATTACTCCTACTGGCGATTACGAAAGGAAATAAAATGGGGTGAAAGACAAACTACAACTACTCAAGAGAACTGGGAACTCCAGAGAATTTTGTCGCTTACAAGTTTTGTACATCAGATGCTCCACATAAAGAAATTTGAAGCCTTCTAGCTGTTTTTGGAGCAGGTTGCAACAAGACGGTCACACCGAGAAACGAAATTCCCTTACATCACGTAACTCATTCCTTAACAGTATTTTCCCTTAATATACCCCCTCATATATAGTCCCGAATCCACAGCAGAAAACATTATTCTCATTAGTTCCTTATTTTCTACTTCTTATTCGACACATGTTCCACACATTGTTATTAACGAGGACAAGATTTTGTCCCAACATTACACATGTCGACTTCTACACGAAAGCGACTTTCCACTGCAAAAAAATACATGTGTTTCGCACAAACTCTTCAATTACACGAAATTTACCTTGGGCGAACGACTGCGAAGGCGCAGCGCCTGCCGCGGTGGCACCGCGCCCTGGTCCTCGGCCAAGGGAACACGCGTAAGCCGCGCCATTATCCGGCGGCGATACTCGACGTGGCGAGTGCGGATTTGCTTACTAAGCACCCGGCCGACCGCGCTTTACGCGGGGAGTTATGGGCCCGGTGAGCCACGTGGCGCGTGGTGACGGAGGTGGCGACGCCTGTTACGACGGCCTTGGTTTTGGTTGTGGCGGGCGTCGAGTCGCGTCGCGTCGCGTCGCGTCGCCGTTCCGTCACCGCCGCCGCCGCCGCCGCGGATAGATGCCCCCGAGAACTGCAACCCGCCGCACGGCCACGCCTCCAACAGCGGTACTCAATGGGAGCAGATTGACAGAATGAAAAAGCTTTCTCGTCGTATCTTGGACGTCCGTCTCTCTCAGCACAGCGGGAAAATTAAGTTCTGAGTCTTTGGACCGTAATAAAAAATATATCAAATGCAACTCCTTGTTTGTAACAATATCAAAAATTTATGCGCATTTCAGATACACAGAAATAGAAGACACTAATTTAACTGTAGACAAATAGTTTCTTGAAGTTTTAAAAGTTCTCACATAAATATCTTTATGATAGTATTCGAAAGTTCATTTCATTCAAAAAATGAATAATTAAATAATAAATGAGAGCTAATAAACTCATGAAATATATTAATCTTTAACGAACTAAATATGAAATAATATTATGACAGCTGTCTCAAATGCAGTAATAGGCACCCACAATGGAGAGTCCAAGAGCAATATTGCTTATTCTTAACACATATCCTGCTAAACATTACCTTGTCCCTTAAATTAATATTTCTTTGCTTGCAGCCAAAGAGCCGAAAATCGTACTTCCATTCCAGAAACAAACTCGCACTTTCGGTTGCTAACATTACCCCTTTCATTAGGTCCGGGGCCAAAGCAATTATTTGCGACTCTTCGTCCCAAATGAAAGCAGCAACCCGCGATGACGTCGGTGGGTCGCAGTCGTTCGAAGGAGAGCGAAAGGACGAGCCACCCTCGATGAGAACGCGAGCGGATACATTTACGTCCGTTGGCCCGTTGCCCAAATATGAGAGGAATGCTGCCAACACCCCCTGGCGCCCTCGGAGCCGCGCTGCGATTGGCGGAGGTGAGCGCACGCCCCGGCGTATTTCCGCCGCGTCGCGACACCCCGCAACGATTCGCCCGATTCCTAAAACGACTCGACGCCATGCGGCCAGTTCGCTAACTCTCCACTTGTGGGATGCGGCGTTTAAATCTTCGTCTCGCAGAAGCAGAATTTGTAATGAAAAATGAAAATAAGTTTTCAGTCACGCGGGAGAGAAAATATATAGTTTTCAAATGTTGCCAAACACGCGTTAATGGTTTCTTTATACATCATTCAACTACGTTTAGTAAAAGGGATGCGGTAGAGGTTTTTGAAGCTCAAGATAATGAGCGCAAATTGTACTTCTTCCCGTTAAGTCGTATAGAGATTTTACTGTTTACCGACGAAAATAAATTAAAAACAAATAAATAAAAAATAGATACGGCTAGGTTTTCTCAGGGTCCTATCCTTCTCTTATGTTTTGCACAATTTCGGCATCATCATAATCTACATACGTCAATTTATTTCCCATTCCAAGTAAGCCACTCACAATAAGATTCTGGAATTATAAATAACAAATACAATGTACTTCCTACTACGCGCAAAAGGTGAAACACGTAATTGTCTTTATTTTATCAAATTTCCGCTTCACAAAAGATTGGAATTGATTGTAATAGAAGACCAATTCATCGAGAAAAATTTAATAATTTTCTTACGCAGTTTAAGTTATAATTAACTAAACATTTGTTTCACCTTTCAGGCACCAATACATTCTCTTCTTAAACCTATATCAGACGTTAAAGTCAAAGTAACATTTATATTTTTGAGTCGCGTTCACTTCCAAGGTAACTTGAAAATTGTCCAAAGTTTGTTTCTAGATATTATGTGACACTAAGCTGCTTCTTCTTCTACGAGAAAAATGAAAATTATATCGAATTGAGAATGAGAAAAGAAAATTACTTCTTCTACTATACCTTGCAATGCGTTTGGAACCACAACTGCCTTCGGGGACAGCCCTATTGGAGTATTAGAGGAAAGGGTGTTCCCCAAAGAATGTCAGTTAGAAAACCGCTAGACATCAACATCTGCCCAAGACCAGTAGCGGGTAGAATAAAAATTCTATCGAGAGAGGTACTTCAAACTAACATCAATTCCGAGACAAATCTGGCTTCTTTAAAGTCTGGTTAAGTCTCGTTTCGTATCTAAACGCACAAACCACCATTGACTTACCAAACATTCAGTTATTTCGCAAAATCAGTCTTTTTATTATTGAAAAATCAGCCCCAAAAAAATGTGTGGTCAAAACTGAGCTACCCTTCCAGGGCGGCAACCGGCGGTTGGCGGAGCGTAGTGCTCTGCCCCAGGCACGCCCCCGGCGCTGTGCGGCCAGCTGCGCACGGCACGGCACGGCACGGCACGGCACGGTACGGCAGCGGGCGGGTGCGTTCCGCTCCGCTCCTCTCCGCACCCCTGTCAGACCGCGCCCCCTCCCCGATCCCGCCCTCTAATATTAGAGCGCGGGCGGTGTGCAACGTGGCCGCGTTGCTATTTACGCGCGCGGGTCTGCCACCGCGCCGCGCCGCGTCGCGCCAAGCGTCGCCCCCTCCCCCTGACGCCGCACGTCGCTCCGAAATTACGGCGCCGCGACGCTCGCGGACGCGCCCGCCGAAGATGTACGCGGGAATAAATAGCGAGCGAGATGACGTCGCGGCGGGCGAAATACGCGCCCAAAACAACGCTCTAAATAAGCGGGCCCCCTGCGCAAAAGTGTAAATAAAGACGCGGCCGAGTCACCTTGCGGGCTGCGTTCGCCTGCGACGCTATAATTAGCGTGATTTAGAATGAATGGGGTCGGGCCACGCGATTCTCCGGGCGGCCGGACACCTGATGCAATGGACCGGAATGAAAATCCCGGGTTTTAGGAACACTGGATATTTTCGCGTCAGTTTTGTTGCAACCTACATTCCCCAATTTTAAAAAAATATTCGAGGCCTGGAGTTCCAAGCAGCTATGTGTAATTAACCTCGTATTGAGGCGTGATGAATGAAAAGATATTAGCGAAGAACCGCGATTTTATTTCATTCTCAAGGGAATAAAAAAGAGATATAAAAATGTTTGTTTTTTTATATATTATGGTGTTTATTTTATGTTGGTTTTATATTGCGGTGTTAATTCAAGAGGCGTGTCTCGAAATTAAATTTCCACGCCTTATACTCCTGAACTTTGGTAGTTTTGCTGTTGATTCACTCTTCATCGAAACTTTCTTTCCCTCGTCGGCACGACAGTTGCGATCGCCTGGGGCGCTCCTAATTTTGCTCACAAAGGCGTCAGGGAAATGAATGAGAGCGATACTCCTAAATCTCGTGTCCATATCTAACGTAATGTAGTGCATAAGAATTCGTTATCATGAATTTGAATGAGAAGAGAAACAATTGACTTTGTTCAAAAATTATATATGTTGACAGACGAATCAGAATGAATGAATTTTTATATTTTATTACTTGATTCAATGTATCACGTCAATTTCAATTTCATGAAAATATAAACATTGTGGTTCGTGTTGTGGACGTACTACTCAATTCAGCATTTCTTGGTTTATATTCTTCGATGGATGTACGATATCGTAATTTACATCTTATCATAGTAAATACTCATTTCTTTTAATAAGGTACTCATTCTATTATTAAATCAATTAGATGTACCGTACTCACATACTACTTAGTATTCTATTTGCTTATGAAATCTTCGATAAAGTTGTGTCACTCCAATATTTTTTGTGTTCCGCGCTCCGGTTTGAAGCAATTTCTGAGAAAAAATATTCTCGCGTGTGGTAGTCTTCCTATTTCGCCACTTCCTTGGATATATTTTTTGATGACACATTCTTTGATGTCTTCGGGTCACGACGGCAGCTGTGTCTGCCCGGGGCGCTATAATTAGTCTGACGAAGGAGCGCGGGTGGATGAAGGTGGGTGGGCCAAGAGTCAGCTGCGCAGCTCAAAAATTCCCTGAGGCGCAGCTGACCATAGACTGTGCCTTCCCAGATTCCCGTTTGTTAACACAATAGAACGATTCCGCTGCAAATGTGTTTACGACGTGCTCGTAAAACCCACGACATATTTGATGTCTATGAAAAGTATCCGTAAGCAATTCAATTCAACCGTATTTAAAATTGCGATGATACTATTTCCATAAGAATATCACAAGCTCATAGCTTACGTACCAGATGATTCGAACAGAATTTTATTTTATACCAGAGCAGAGAGAATATTAAAAGAATGTATAATATTGGTATCAAAAGAAATTCATACGTATCATTAACTAACCCGAAAATCCTTCCTCAGAATTTGCTATTATATTTAGAGAACAATATATATTTTTCTTCAAACATATTATAAAATATCTGGTCTGATATAATGGCAACGGTCTCGTAAAAATGATATCATGTATAGAAAAAGGTTTCCAATGATACTAAGTTATCTTCCTGCGTCATATAAGTTAACTGCATCACGAAGTTAATTTAGAAACAGGTTTCAAATTACAGCTGAGACTAAACCTATGCAGGGGAAAAAAACAAACCAGCGGATCGGGGTTCGAAACCCGGACCTTTCCAATACGTGACGTCAACGCACGAACCTCCGATCCCCCCCCCCCCCGCCCCCAACCACTGTTTCGCACGAGGTGATTCAATTCCGCTCGTAACTCACGACATAGCGTTTCTTACGATCACCAAACACCACCTGCTCACAACTACATTCGTAAGCATTAGCTCGGTAATCCTATCAACTGGAATGAAAATCTTAATTTCGCATGGTGCAACAAAACGACAACGGGTGTTCGCTTTCGTTGGCTCGAGACCTAGGTCCGCGAGAGGGGTTGGGGTACGGTGGAGAAAGAGTGCTCCGTTGGCAAACGCGCAAAACTTAGTACGCGGCGGCGCCTCCGCCGGGCGACGACCCAGGCGCCGCGCCGCCCACGACACAAGACGTCAGCGATGCCCGTGAAAAATGAAAATGCGCCACAAGATCAAGAATATAAAGTTAAAAATATTCATATTAAGGAGGATGATATTAACGACAGTAAAAATATTGTGTTTTTGATTATTAGAGTATTATCCAACGTCTTCATTAAGAAATATTTTAACCACAAAATAATATAATTATATTATAATAATTGTTATGTAGTACTAATTATGTTCAGTAGACATGTTTTGCGCTCTCGCAGCTAACTAATGATGTCTGAAAACAGAGAGAATTTAACGGAGAGGAGTTGCGTTTTCACTTTACAAATGTTAATATTTGTCAGAAAGCACAAGTGTCTAAATTACGGAGACGTTAATCCAACCCCACGCAACACGGCTGGCTGATAGGCGTTTCTTGACATTGATCGTTCGTATCTCAAAAACGGTGGGTCCTGTAGCTTGAAAACGTGATTTTCGAGACGAAGGATCTGGGTTGTAATTTCTGGGTAAAAAAAGAAAATAAAAAATATTATTATCCCATTTAGAACGTTAAAATCCAATGAAGCTCCACAGAAATGTTTTTCGCAGCATCATTTGATTATATTATGAGATGAAATAAAGCCTAAAGTAAGGATAAATTTAATTATTTGAGCTTGAAGTTATTGAGGCTTTTAATCCTGAACTTACAATGCAAAGAAGTGTTAGCTTCTTATATATTTTTGAAATATTATGACCCTTTACAAATAATTATATCAATATAGTACATTCAAAACAAAATATCTTCTGTACCTAATATCAGTCAAACACGAAGAGCTTCTTTTACCACAGTGTTCTTAATGGATTGAAGGAGCTTTATTTTGTATCATCAACTGAAGCCGTTCTTTGCGAGTCCATTGAATATTCATCTAAAAATTAATCGATTAGATTAACGTGTCGAAAAGCATATACAGCACTATCTGTTTCATTACGTACTTTAATTAAATTAAAGGTATAATTAAATTCTGTTATCTTTCTTCTGTGCTCTAAATTCTCGCTTAACGTCACACGCTCATCTTCTCTTGAAATATCATGGTTCAGGGGCTCAGGTGAGCTTCCCTCATGGAAATATTACACCGAGTAAGAAACCGTTAGCCCCTCCACGATGACATCCCGCGATACACAATTTCATCTCGGGCCGTCAACATGCTCGCTCTCATGACGAATGAGCCACTATCTCGTTACCGTAGGGTGTTCCGATCGCATCAGACCGTTCCGGTGAAGTGGCCGAGGGTGAAATGTCAGCAGGAAATCGAAATGAAGTTGGTGCTTGCGTCCCGTCAGTCCTGACGCCTCAACCGCCAACAAACGAGATATAACGACAAGCCTGGAGCCATGCAATCAGTCCCTGTGGAGATAAACCCCAACTTTTCCTCCCGCCGTCGGACTCGTTGCCACCTGGCAGCGATCTAAGCTCGCCTGATTGGCCTTCGTCGAGCATTCCTCGGACGGGCGAGCGTGGCCGGTAGCGCGGACGCTTCTTATCCGGTACAGGTGTCAGAGAGATATGTTGAAGGCGCACCGGAGAGACAATATTCATTCCGAAGAAAGAGCCATCATAATACAGTTTCATTTTGCCTCGTGATACACGAAACAGGATCTCTTGCGAGATAGCGTCAGTACGTTTTAGAGAAGAGGAGGCATGAATCATGTAAAGGTCAAACTCATGTTTCTGCCATGATATTGGAAGTCTGTTACACAATGAAATGAGAAAATGATTATTTTTATTCTCCAAAAAATATCGATCGTATTTCATGGGCACAAACAATTACAAATTGTGTAGTTGTTATAACTAATTAATTTTATTGTAATGTCTAATTAAGGTTGTAATTTCTTTCAGTGAAGGTTACTTAAACGTCCTTTTATAAAATCAAAACTCAAACACGACCACAAGTATCTTTAGAGGAAATGTAGGACATTATTTCTTCATATTCCGTTTTGTTAACATTACCAACTATCATTTCCCCTGCGATTTGACATATTAGGCTTACAATATTTTTAAAATGTATATTTTAAAAAATTGTGCGGATTCAGTCAAAAAACATTTTAACCATTTTTAACGCTATATCTATCCTTATTATGAGCTTAATTTTGAAACTGTTGAATCTGAATGGCTAAACATCTCCAGTCATACACATTAACACAAAATTATTACAACCCGGTTAAAACTCAAAACACATTCAGATATTCATTCTGTAGTATTTTAATCGTGGTTTGCTGATCTCTCTCTACCAGAAGAGATTCACGCGTGTTTGTGGAAACTTAGTTATTTCTTGCCATAATATTCCTATTTTTTATAATATACGACATTTTTATATAACTTTACCCGCTAACCGTAATAGTCGCTTGTTCGTAAACAAAAACGAAGTCTCAAAACCATCGAAAGCAAAGAGTTTTAGCTAAACACGAGATATGAATACTTCTATTCCAGAGGAGGGTATTTTTAATTTTATGATTTTTGTTTCTTATAAGTTAAAATACCTATATTACTGAAAGTATTGGACGACTCACGGCCCTATTTGTTTAGTTCTGTAATGTTAAGTTAGTGTATTCTGCCCCCACGTTCTCAAACTTAATTGCGGAATTACTAATAAATCTAAACCTAAATCTAAAAATATCACAAATAACGGACTTGGCTATAAACCTTGTCTGACGTGTCGGTTTATAAACTTGAGCTGCATCAGTTGTTTTATATCTGTCTATTGTCATAGTCAACTATTTCTTGTGCTACATGGTGTGTGGTGTGTGTTGCAGGCGACACTGATGGCGCTGGCGGCGCTGGCGGTGACCGGCGGCGCGGAAGCCGGGTACGCGTACGGACGGCCGGCGACCGGCCTGGTGTACGGCGGCGGCGGCGGCAGCTACGTGAGCCGGTCGGGCGTGGGCGTGGGCGGCGGCGGCGGCGACACCCTCACCGTGCTGGCGGACGAGCCGTACGCCGTGGACTCGGCGCTGGCCGCCGTGCCGCTGCTCATCATCCCCAGCAGCCAGCTGCGCGTGGTGCACGACGCGCGCATCGCCGCCGTCAGCCCCACGCGCCCCGTCGTCACGCTGCAGGCGCCGGTGCGTACCGCCTCGCGACGCCCCTGCGTAGGCTGCTCTGCGCGTTCATTCTCCTTCGCTAGTCCTTCTACTCTCGTTTTCTTCGAGCGAATTGAGCGACGATGGCTGCAGAGGGAAGCCATAAGAGCCACACCGCCCTTGAAATTTTCAGATTTTTTTTAAATTCAAAAAAAAAAAAAAACAATAGGCTTCAAAACGAACGAAGTTTTAAAATTTAAAACCACTTTAATCGTTGTCACATTCAAATCATTTTTAGCGGAACAAGTAACCACAGAAGAGTAATCAATTTTTACGTAAGCTTTTTTGTTTTCAAATTGTACATTAATATACGTAAATTGAGGGAATCATGGTAATATAATAATTAAATACACATGACAACAAATACAACCAATTTTCTTTCAACGTTCTAAAATACCTCTCACCTAAATATTTCATGAAGCTACCTCAAAATTAAGTCTCGACGTTACGCCGTTTAAGCCAATCTTTGGACCTTCAATAACTTCATTTATCTTTATTTAATCCACTTTATATCGTTCTAACAACTGTATCGTCGAACAGAGGTGGGTACTTCTTTAGCCTTCTTTAGTACTATTCCCGTTTTCATCGGTATGTGCGAGTTGAATCGACACGCCACGTTATGTAAGTCAACGCATGAATGAAGAAAACTTCCATTGAATTACAATTCTATTTATTTTATTCACTTTTAATCGTTTCACTTATTGTCAGTCAAGAGACACCGTTAGATAAACTTGAATCTTGGCTTACGCATTGGACCATTTATTTTCTTGATTTATGCGTTTCAGTCCTCACGCCAATGCCTGAAGCAAGAAACAAACTATACTTTTCTCTCAATTTCTTTTACGCTTAATATTTTTTTTCAATATCGTTTCGATTTCCATTTCAATACACTCAGTCTACCACGCGGATCACTTAGGTGATTCGTGAAACAAAAATATTTCCTTATCTGAAGTGGTTCAATCACCAGCGAAAGGAAAGATTTAATTCTAAAACAAATGTCATGGTTTCACTTAGTTCCAATGTCCATACATTCAAATTTTCATTCGCATACTACAGGTTTGATGTGTACACGCACGATCATTTTGAACGACTTACCAAACTATACTCCCGTCCTTCAACGCTCCTCCGGTTGTTAAGGAGAAAGGGAACCGCTAAAACAGGGCACGCATACGAAAAAGGGCACCGAGCGCTGTATCCGCGCAAATGAGCCGCCGCGAATTCGCAACACACAGCACGTAGCAGTGGATCACGAAGGCGTGTCGCGTCACGCTCCAACCAACACTTTGCTCCGTTGAACAGCGCCACGCGTTTAATGGCAATAGTCGTACTTAGATGAACGAGCTCAACCCCGTTAAAGATCTCGGTGAGTTGAGAAATCATTATTACGAATAATGTCAGAAATAATATTATCATCACTTTATAATCTATCTTTTGTACGATGCAATATACGTAGTGATAATTTCATGTCACATTTCACTTTAATGATTTGGGATGAAAACCTGTACTGCAATAATCGCTCTAATATGGATCAAACAACTGCCATGAAGGTGACTCAGTAATATGAACAAGAGGCAACACTTCTTTATAAATAGTATCATCAGATACTCCAACCCTGCAAGTAACTGATAATATGATTACTACCAGAAACAGCATGTACTAAAGGGAGTTTACAGTCAATACAACTAATATTTTTTTCAATAATATTTCATTTGAAATGCATCTTTCATCTCAGAAGTACGAGTACTCATGTGTCGGAACACGCGCCCACTCCTAAAATGATCCAGGGTCGAGAACCTTACTCCACGGAGTACGTCCATATCGCACCTGCTTTCTCAACGGCACAGAATTAAGAATACGGGCGTCGCCGCTCTTCAGGGGGCGTGCAGTCGACACCAGCGAACTTTCAGTGTCGGCGGCTCGGACGGCATGTCCCACGCTGCTTCCCCGCCCCGGCTGCACCTCCGTGTCTCACGCCTTCCTATCCTGCACTGTCGTGAAGCATCATCGCCTTCCTTCAACGACCTATCATTTTCGCTTCTCATCTTATCAGCGTCACTTTTAAAATCTAATACACTTACCCAAAATATTATATATAAATAAATAAGACATAGGAACGTCCCCAAATCATACTGAATGAATTGAAAATAGACTCGGCAACATGAACTAATGGCTTTCTTCTTGGTAACAAAAGACGCTAAACAGATTTGCGAGATTAATAGAAGAGAGGTTGCTAATACCTTAAACGAAAGAACAAAAAAGGAAGAATTGAATAACAATGCGTAAAATTTAAAGTGAGATGTTCTTTTAAGAAATGCTATTCATTTTAAATGTATTTTCATTAATTTTACTTTTCTATACAACTCTTATATAAAAATAATGCAGTCTAATTCTAATGCCCTATTTCTGATAGCAATCTAATCTTAAAATAATTGACGCCCAGAGCACTTTCTTTTCACTATATACATTTATGGATTGTCGGGCTTGCATTGTCCAGGATTACCATGTCATTTCAAGTTAAGTTCTTTCGTGAACATTAATAGCAAACCATTACACAGACGCTCGTTGTACTAACCCACTATTTCAACGTCTTTACTCTGTCCTTTCCTCTCCAATTTTAGTGAACGATAAAAACAAAGAAAAACAATCACGAAGAAACTTTTAATGGTACTGACTATTGAAAAACATTAACATTACCTTGTGAAGATTTGAAAACATTAAATTGAAGTTTTGAAAACAAATGAAGGATTTTTATTCTTGTAGTTTTAAATCACAGTCTTACATAGCCGTGACACATCCATTTTACCACACTGCACTTTTCTTTTCTTTTTTCGAGTTTTCAAAAATGTTTTGAGTCCAAATGCGGACATGGGACACGCCAACGCTCCTTTGAAGTGTCTGAGGTCCCTCATTCATTCTTTCAACAACTCTTCCTCTAAGAAAGAGAATAAATAGAAGCGACGGAATAAAATAAAGAATGGAACTCTTCTAAAAAGGGAGGTGCGAATTCTCAAAAAGAAAAAAAGGAAGGCCCGCTTTAACAACTACTTAAACCAAGAAAAAGCATACCTCTACAAACCTGTGAAAAATCAACGATTGCAGATATTGTGATGCTGAGTTAGTCTCTATCCTGCCTTACCAGACAAAGGTGAAACGAAGGAGAAATGGATTAAATAAAAACACTCACGACGTAACAAGTATGAATCCCTCAAAACTGGAATGTGCACATCGATAATCATTACAAAACTACAAATATGACTGCTGTTCAATTTCGTCCCGTTATCCTTCTGATCTATCCCAAGTACAACTTCCGTAACCCAACGCCTTCTCGGAATCACGCCTCCCACGGCACCGTAGTCGTTTTTCGCGTAGCCTCTCCAAGGCGTTTCCGCGCGACCAAAAGCGGAGTCTGGCGACCTGAACGCGCTCTCGCGGCGCCCATAGCGAGCTGACCACCCACGCGCCGCCGCCGTCATCTCATCAGAACGGCGTCGAGCCCGCCCTGCCGTCTGGCGCCGCCTTTGTGACATACAGCGCGCGCGGCCTTTGTTCCTTCGCTGCTCGTTTCTCTTTTTGCGCTCGCGCCGCCATTGTCCGGCCGGCCCGTAACACTCAACGCCGCGCCGACTGCCCTCGCGGAGCGCCCACTACATTTCGCACGTGATATTTCTAGGCGCTTGCGTTGGGTTGCAAATTCAATGTCAACGGGAGGGAGCAAAAAGGAGCACAGCGAATGGCAGGGACACTTTGTAAATAATAAACATGAAATATGAGTATTGAAAATGAGTAAATTGACGAACAATCACGACATTGGAGAATCAATTTTATAAATAAGGCAAGTGTTTCTATTTTTATTTTCAATAAACTAATTTCCGAATAATTTCGTAACTGTGTAAACTGTGTTTATGTAAAAAAAATATTATTCATTTACATAACTATTAATAGTCTTAAATAATTACTAATGTGATCTTAAAATCCCTGCTCATGCATTTATATAGTAGAATTAAATTTCAGGACCTACCTACGTAACTTCAGAGAATTTTTCCATTGCCAGTTACTAAAATGAAAGTATAAAAATAGAAGAAATATTACACGGAGGGTGAGCTCTCAGAAAAAACGGCTGAGCAGAGTTAAAAGTCAAATACAAAACGTTAGGGATTTGCAGGCCCGGAATGTGCAACCCAGGGTTAAAATGCGCGAAGCGTTATTCAGGCTTGCGGGGCCGTCGAGGCATTGTTCTCAGCAATGGTCCGGGCGGTTCCGCGCTCCCACCAATGACGCCATCACGCATCCGCGCGGACCCGCTGAGAACAGTAGACGTAAAACAGCTAAAAAAGCGAGGGCTCTACCACTATAGGTTAATATTTATGTAATGCTTTTAGCTAACAGAAAATATAGACATAATTTAATAGAATAATTTAATTAACATAATAGAATTATTTTCTACGTTTGTTGTATAAATTACATCTTGAGGACTAAAAAATAGCAGTTGATACATGAATATCAAATACTAATAAAAAAACTAAAACGTCTCAAATTTTACACCAATGATACCCACCACAAATTACCAACAATTATCACATTCAACAATACACATATAAGTATTTTCTATTTTTCCGTATGGAGAAGTGAATTGCATATTATCAATATCAACAACTCTAGTTGGTAAAAAAGTATATTTTCGAACGCAAGCTTAGCCTTCATAGCGTTGGGAACCTAGCGAATAGCACGTACGCCACAATGTTCAAGCGGACTTGGGTACGGGACCATGCTCGGCACTTTCTTCTGTTGCTAAGGAAACTAACTTCAAGGTTTCAGCGAGAATGGTGTGGTTATGGAAGAAGTCGCTTTAATTGTTTTACAAGTGTTTATAGAGTTAGTAGTAATCGCGAATATTAAGACTAAAACATTAATTTTTATACGCCTCCAAGGGTTTTAAAAACTTCCTAAAACACAATCAAATGGATTAATTCAAAAGTTTGCAC